AATTTCGTCGGGAACAATTTCTCAGGGCTTTGAGAACATTCATATGACGAACAGCCTATGATTCCTGATTTATTTTTCAGAATAAACTGAAGTAATGTCACACACAGTAACAAGTGAACTCGGTCACTGTTGTTCGCCTATTCGTTCGATCACTGCATTTGCTTGTTATGTTCCTCGAGCCGTTTAGCGATGAAGTTTGTTGCGTCAATGAAACGATTCACGCAGTTCGTCATACACGTCGACGCTTTGCCGTCCATCTTGGGCCCGACCCGTTCACCGATGCAGACGTCCCAGCACGAATTGGTCAGCGTGTGCACCAGTACCTGGAACTGTTGCCGCTGTGACTCTTCCTCGATGAAACTGGCCAACTGAGGATCAATCTTGTGTTCGCTTCCTGAATCGCCCAACGAATCCATTTTTGAGAAGCTTGCTTAAATTCAAAGAATTACACCTTAACATCAGTAGCGACCATCAACGATTTCTTTTGCACATTGACTTTCGTTTCTGTTCACCTAAGTCTATCAAGACTCCATACAATCATCGCACTGTGCAAAATGTTATATACTGTGAGCCTTAATAATCGTCCAAATTCCTTGAGAAGGTAGTTTCCACGGTCGCGCCACTTTCAGTACAATCAATGATTATTACTTTAACATAAACCAGCAGTGGACTTTCAGATCCACACTTGGACTTAATCTGTGGAATTGAGAACAATTTTAGCAGAGGACTGTGATGACTTCATCCAGAGATCTGGATGATTACTGCCACCGAGAATATCACGAATAGTAACGGTATTGAACCGCTTTCAAATTTGCCGTCTGTCATTCACGGAATTTCGTCGACTCTGAATAAAATTCCTGAAGGCTCGACAAGTAAATAGGAGCTACGGTCTAAGATGATGGACATAATCTTACCCGTCATAATCTAAACGTTTGCACCCAGTTTACCATTCTGATAAAGAACAATTTTGCATTGCGGAAACTTTTGCAAACAACGCTTAATCGCAATTCCAGTCATTTTTAACTGTTTAAATGCCTATGAACACAACGCCTTCAGCGCAGTCACACTTAAACTACGGCACAATACTAGACGTATCTCATTTAAAGCACGATAATGTCTCAGGCATCTAAATGCTATTCAATACTGTGGTAAACCATACCACGGCAATGATATCTGTAATTTGATGTTACTTTCACAACAAAAAAGTAGCATACGCAAATGTGAAAAAACAAGAAACAAAAACCTTATTTAGAATACAACATAAATGGACTGCACTGTTTACATTCCAAAGATCGCAAAGAAAATACGAAAATGTTCAAAAAATTTATTTACAACAAGGAACATTAACATTAACAAGGAAACATACATGACCGCTGCGAAAACGGCACTGTACACGAAGGACGTTCATATGGACGAATAATGGGGTAGAGGTGTCCCAGGATCGCTTCGTGGTGGGCCGCATGGCGCATCAGACCAAGATATAGATTTGAGGCTGGTAAGAGTCTTTTCTCCAACCGTCGGTCGATGCACGATGGGGAACGGGACACTGGGACCAGACGAAAGAGAGTGAGCGACACCAGTGCTTGCGCCATTGTCGAGGCCACCTTCGTGAATCGACATCATCAGTTTATTTTGCAGGTTGCGCAGTTCTTCTTGATAGAGTGCAATCTGGTGCTGCAAGTTGGTCTGGCGCCGCATTAGCTGCTGACACAGCATCCGTTCCTCCTCGTTTGTGATGTCAATTGGGTTTCTGGAGTTAACGGCCTTTAAAAAAGCAAATCAGTTCAGCACACCATGTTGTCAACAGATGGCTGGCTGGCCTTGTCCTCTTCCTGAGCCACCAACAACACTTACTGGCAAAGGGGAATGCTCGATGGAAACACCGGGTTGAGGATGTATGACATGGGTAACCGGGTAGTTTGAAGTCTTCGGCTCAGAAGTGGCCGTTACTTCCGGTGCGACGAAGCCTGAAAAAGCTACATAACCATTCATGTATGACGTTTGGGAAATAAACTTGCGAGAAACACGAGGCTGCTCTTCTTTATCCTTCACATCGCTAAACTAAACACCTTAGTAATAGTTATACACCTTGATAACAAAAATTCACCTTAAAACTTGATTGACGCATTCAATCGATCGAACGACGTGTGAACCACAGGTCGAGATGTAACAGTTTGTCTGCAAAAGCACCCACCGATCAGCTTTGGTACGAAACCGATATGGCCGAAGCAGCCCCTCACCGTTTGCCATCACTAAAATATGTCTGTAAATGAGCATTTACACGACACTGAGCAAAAATATTACATTTTTCTTGGTCATCGGCTATTTGACGAAGGTCATCTGGATGATAGAAATCGTAACCGGATATTCCAAGAATTTCAAAAGGAATATATCCAATTATATCTGTGGCGCTAAATTGAAGCATATCATTTTTATTAAGCAAATTATGCTATCACAATCATAATTGTACAGGGACATGCTGTTGTTGCTTGTTGTGACTTTCACTTGAGTGATATACATGAAAAACGTCTTCGGTCGGTGAAATACTGCATTCTCAGCATTATGCCATGAGAAACCGACTGTCGCATTTTAGGAACAGCGCATCAGCGACTGCATATCTGCTTCTACCTCGTTCATCCATGCTGACTGCAAGCTGACTTTCGGGTCAACACTTGACCAGAGAATCCCAGTTCCCTGCTGAAAAACCTGAGGGCTGGAGAGAAGATTTTACGTTGAATCAGTTTGACTCTCAGAGCTAACCTCTCCTGTTCCCAACTTTACATTTACTGAGAATATTTTTTCAAAAAATAACAAGATTGTACTGTAGAGAATTAAATGCCAACTGCAACGATGCACTGCGGTTGGTAAAAGAGATAATGATCAAAATGCTCTCCAAACGGGGAAAAGAACAAAACAGATGTACATTTTTATACGCCGCGTAGTCCACTGAAAGAGTTCGTCGTTCATTTCTGAACGTGATGTTCATATTGCACGAATGATTGGATATGAAAGATTGTATTTAATAATATGTTGCTTTAGTACAGTGTTCAGTCAAGTTAATGACAGGTATCGATGTTAAGTTCGCTGTTATCTTGAAGGCAAATCTTTTAGCGAAGGTGGGCTGTTGTCTGGGTTACCGGCAACAGGCAATTTACTTGAAGCCAAGAAGCAAACGCGCAGGTCAGCTAGTTTCTCAGCTCCAAAGGAACCAATTCTCAACAAAAAACAACCGAACTTAACCCTATATTTATGAAGATGGAAGACTACCTTGATAAACAGGCCGAAACATTGGTACCGACTAATCACTCCATCGAGAATCATATTGCCTTGTGTACTAAACATAGGCAGCCGTTCATCTGTCTGTAGCATTCCAAAAGATAATGTAAGTGGCAGTCCGTCTATTCCGATATCAACTTCTCACTTCAGAGTGTAATGTGTGGCTTTTACCGCATTACCGCTTACGCCTCACCCTCCATCAGAGCCACGGCGTAAACACAAGCATGCAAGCGGCAAAGCTGAGACTTAGGTACATAGGTAGGCGGCTTAGTAATAATCTAGTACAACTGCAGTATTATTGTAGTTTTGACTGAACCGTAAATCAATTTCAAACTACACTGGTATGGTAGGAACACTAATCGGGATAGTAACATATACAGAGAATTACAGATCAAAATGAACTGTCAATCTGTGTGCTGAAGTCACCCCGAGAACGCACTACATAGCTGACATAGGGAAGATAAAAGCAACCTCATTTACAACTCACCTAGAATCAAGACAAGTAAACTTCCATTCGGCATCGAACTTGTTGTAAAACTGAATGTTGCCCTTTACTTGTTCCGGCACGCTGTCTCGAACCACCTTCGGACTGACGATACAACAGAAATGCATTGCAGATTCTCTTCCATCTAAAATTCGCCAGTTTTCCACAGTAAAGAAGTGCAAAGTTCAAAATACTGAACTAATTAACATGTGAAGATTAGATTATTAACAAAATAACGCACGTGTAGCCAACGGTCCATCAACTATCCCGACTAAGAGACCTGATTGGTTATTGTTTAATACCATATCCCTTTGGGAAAAGGAAACACTATATGCAACAAATGGCCGCATTTTCTGTGAGATCAATAAGCACAACCTTTAAACTATAATAAATCTATAAGTTGTCGATGCAATGGCATTGGACACAAGACAAAGACTGATGTTACGAAACATATTACGCAGGTGTCATGTCAACGTTTCGACCTCACAGCGGCGGCCTTCTTTTCGGGACAGAAAATGATTCCTGTTGTGTGGCAAGAAGCAAGACTTTCAAGTAACGGTAAATCTTTCACAAGTAGCTCAACTGGTGGAACCACCTAATTTTTCTGTCCTAAAGGAGGCCGCCGTTGACAACTACGTAATGAAATTTTCCTATCATCCCTTATCTTACACTTAAAACTACCGAATCAGTAACTCAGAAGATTTGCGAGTTCATTTCGCAGAAAATAAACTTTCGAAATTATTTAAATCATTAGTAGGAACAGCCGTTTCTACTACTGTTTAGTACGATTCACAGCAGGTGGGAAAAATATATGGAGGTGCATTGGTAGTCATAGTGAACAACAGCAAAAGACGGTTTATTTATAAACAACGCAAATATCATGGTTAATCAAGCGATTTACCAGTACCGACTTTCAAACCCGTGTCTCGTGGGGTCTTCTTCACGATAAAGAAGTTCACTGACTCATTTCAGAAATCTTTAAACTTCGCAACGATTGGTGGGTGCGAAGCCAGAAGAAGTTAGTCTGTTAATCAACCGACTGACCACAATGTTAACGCTGGGTTTAAATATACCATGCTTTATGCTATGTTCATAAAGGGATATTAGGCAATAATCACATCACAGCGTATGAAGCCTACCATTTTACGGTACATGACCAACCGTAACTAATTTATTAGTATCTGCGAAATTTTGCATCGTATACCTCTATCTACACTACAGTAACTTAAAACACAACGTAATTTAGAACAAAACACGAATTACAGT